ATATATATGGGCAGATATATAGATATGTAAGCATGAATAGACATGTATTCTATAGATATTATATAGGTGTTTATGTGCATAGGTATATATATATATACATATATATATATATATATATATATATATTATATATATATATATATGCATGTACACATATATATGTGCATACCTGTATATAAATATATATACTCCAGGAACCTAGGCCCAGAGGACAGGACCTTCGCACGCCATGGGGCTCGGCCCCCCCCTAGACAGTTTCGAGGCTTCGTTACGCCACACCGCCGACCCCTTGGGGAACTGGCGGTTGTTGTGTGTTGCTCCTGAGGCCTCTTGTGCGCCTTTTAAGGGCGTCTTGGAGCTTTGTTGGTGCTTCATGGGGGCCTCTTGGGGGCCGTTTCGGGGCCTCTTGTGCTGACATTCTCAGCATTCGCCGTGCACGCATGGGGAATGGGGCGAGAACCCACGTATACAGACGGAGGGAATCTGTCGAAGCACCCGACGAATGATGATCGAATGGCTGTCGGCACATCCCGCCACCGTGCTTGGGTTGCGGGACTGAGGCTACTCGGATGGCCGATGGGGTCTCATGGGAGGCGTCTCGGGGGCGAATTGGAGTCAGTTTTTCCCAACCCTCCTGCATTGGGTACTCGTTTTGTATAGAACACTGCCCGCGCGTCTTCTCCTTCTCCCGCCCACCTCCTCCTGTCCTCTTCTATCCTGCCTCTCACCCCGCCTCTTCCTGCGTGCCAACTTGCCTTCTACCTGGCCGCCCCTGGGGGGCTGCGATCTGCGAACCTGTCGCCACTTTCTCGGGGGTCCAGCGGAGTGACGTCTTACCCGGACCACCAGGAGACCTCGCCATCCGTGTGGGGCTGCGATCTGCGAAACAGTCGCCACGTTGGAGGGCTGCCGGGGGGCCCAGCGGAGTGACGTCCTACCCAGACTTCCAGGAAACCTCGCCATCTTTGTGGGGCTGCGATCTGCGAAATTGTCGCCACTTTCGAGGGCTGCTGGGGGGTCAGCGGAGTGGCGTCTTGCCCAGACCACTAGGAGACCTCGCAATCCCTGTGGGGCTGCGATCTGCGCAACTGTCGCCACTTTCGAGGGCTGCTGGGGGGTCCAGCGGAATGACGTCTTACCCTGACCACTAGGAGACATCGCCATCCCTGTGGGGCTGCGATCTGCGAAACAGTCGCCACTTCCGAGGGCTGCTGGGGGGTCCAGCGGAGTGACGTCTTACCCAGACCACCAGGAGACCTTGCCATCCCTGTGGGGCTGCGATCTGCGAAATTGTCGCCACTTCCGAGGGCTGCTGGGGAGGCCAGCGGACCTCCAGAAGACCTCGCCATCCCTGTGGGGCTGCAATCTGCGAAATTGTCGCCACTTCCGAGGGCTGCTGGGGGGTCAGCGGAGTGACGCCCTACCCAGACCACTAGGAGACGTCGCCATCCGTGTGGGGCTGCGATCTGCGAAACAGTCGCCACGTTCGAGGGCTGCTGGGGGGCCTACCGGAGTTTCGTTCTACGCAGACCACTAGGAGACCTCGCCATCCCTGTGGGGCTGCGATCTGCGAAACAGTCGCCACTTCCGAGGGCTGCTGGGGGGCCCAGCAGAGTGACGTCTTACCCAGACCACCAGGAGACCTTGCCATCCTTGTGGGGATGCGATCTGCGAAATTGTCGCCACTTCCGAGGGCTGCTGGGGGGGCCAGCGGAGTGACGTCCTACCCAGACCACCAGGAGACCTCGCCATCCCTGTGGGGCTGAAATCCGCGCGGACCTCCGAAAGTGTTGTTGACGTAGTTTTATGCGTATTTGAGCTTGGGCCACCAGAAACAATCTCGAGCACCAAGAAAGTACTGAAACTGCAGGGTTCTCACGTGTTGGGCTCTGGGAGGCGATACTCGTTCGACACTGTTTCGATACTCTTCTAGGTGCTTGAAATTCTTTCTGCGATTTGGTCCTTGAGTACGAGGGGGGCAACATAAACGTAGTTTTATGTCGGGCCTGTCCCCCTACAGGGGGATTTTCGACGACAAATGAAACATACTTCCAAACATATTATAAAAAAGAGTCCAAAAGTAGTTTGGGGATTATTTGTTTGTTGTATTTTTCACCTTTTTCGAATATTTGTTGTGTATTTTTAATTTTTTGTCGAAAATCCCCCTGTAGGGGGACAGGCCCGACTTAAACGTAGTTTGTTCCTTGTGGACGTTTTCCGGCGGTGCCACCAGGAGGCGCTGCGCGCGCTGCCGACCGGCACCACGTTGCTGGTCATCTCGCACCGGCTGGCGACCCTCGACGGGTACGACGCCGTCGTCGTCATGGAGGACGGGCGGGTGGCGGAGGTCTTCGGGCGAACGACTGGAGTCAGAGGAGGAAAAAGGTACACGCTGTTCATTTCTAGTTCTTTGAAAGTTCCTTGATTTGGGGGGGCCAAGATCCTTTCATTTCTAATTGTTCCATCCTGGGCCTCTTCCTGGCCACTAGGGGGCCAGGAACAATTAGAAACGAGCACAATTAGAAATGAGCACGATCAGAAATGAACGACGTGTACCCATTAATTACCCCTGCCCTTCCCTCGATTACCCCTTCTTGGGCCTGGGAGGCCCTCGTCGCCACCGCTGGATTCGCCTCGAAATGTCTGGTCAGAACGCAGCCCGGGAGAGGTCCGGGGAGTAGCGGTATGAGTACCTTTTGTCGAGGGTGGACAGACCTCCTACCCTGACACGTGGATTAGCGAATTGGCCGTTTTCGGTTCGCGAGAGGGCGTCGCGGCCGTCATTTTTGCGGGTCCAGGTCCGTCGGTTTCGGTCCCAGGCCGTTTTAATTAAGGGGAGGTTTACTAAAGGGAGTTTTGTCAACCGCCGATTTGGGGCTCCCCAAATGGAGGGGGTATCCAGAAAGGTGCATCTCCTTCGACTTTTCGGCCTGAAGCGTGGCTTCGGTATGGGCCATCGATTTCGGCCTCCCACGGGGCTCATTAATGTTGTCGGGCCCTGGGAGGAGTCCAAACGGGAAAACGGTGCTGGGACGACAAACTGCCCCAGCCACGCGCAGAGGGGGGTATGGGGGAGGGGCAAAGGCTTCTGAGAAGGACCCCTGCTTCCCAGAAGGCGCTGGCCCTTTCTCGAGATACACGGCCGCCGCCTTCTAAGAAGCAGCCTCCGTCTAAGACGCCTTCCCCCATCCCCCTACCCCCCAGTGCAAGCAGCCAACGATCCCCTGGGGGACAAAGGGTCGATGACTTCTGGACCTCTGGAAACGCGCCTCTCGCAGAAGTCACATCGTCGGACGTCGGGGGAAGGGCGGATTCTACCGCGTGCAGCCAGGTCCAGCTTTGAGTCGGGCATGCCCCTCTACAGGAGCTCTCTTGACTGTCTTTGATCCTCGTGTTTGCGAATTCCTTCCTTCCAAGATCTGCATGTAGGAGGACATGCCCGACCTAAGTCCAGCTCCGCCGCCAGGCTTCCCCCCTCCCCGATCGCGCAGCCGCCTCCGTCGCTGGGGGGCGCCAGGAGCACCGGCGGCACGCGTCCGGCCCACGGACCCATTTGGCGGCGCGGGTGCCGCGAGGGTGGCGACCTGCAAAGAATCAAGCAGTGGCGAAGCGTCCGCCCACCAAAGAACTGCCCGTTCTTCTTCGGTCATTTCTGGCTGCGACTGTCTTGTCTTCATACATCGGGCTGACGTTCTGAAAACATTGTGATTGTTATCAGCGCATCTTTGGGTTCTACGAGCATGCCGTGGTAGGCCTGCAGGGCTGCCTGCAGGGGTGCCGGGACGGTCGGCTCCCGCTCAACAAGAAGCCGTGGGGCTCCTCGGAAGCAGGGCCGCTGGCGTCCCCGAGGCCCTCCCGCCCGGCTTCTGAGAGGCCTTCTCTTCGGACGCCCGGAATCCTGGCATCGCTCGGACGTGCACATCTGCTTCTCGGCGAGGACCCCGGTGGAGCATCCTGGATCATCGAGCAAACAGAAACACGCACGAAGCCGAAGAATGCACAGGGAATGGGGGTCCGAGCGACGGCAAGGAATGGATACGGAAACAAACGGCACGATGCCCAACAACAGAAATTGCCCCAAGCCGATAGCGGCCGCTGCTAGGCAGGCGCCCCGTCTCTCTGCCGCGGGCAGCGTCCGCGGCGGCGCGGACTGCGAGTCCTGCTCAAAACGAGCAGGAACGGCTGTTGGGCACCGTACCCCTCCTTTCCGTACCCATTTCGACCGTCCCGATTCTCAGCCCCCAGGGCCCTATTTTGGGAAGGCCTTGCCTTCCCGACCGTCCCGATTCTGAGGAGAAGCCCCCAGGGCCTTCTTTTGGGAAGGCCCTGCCTTCCCGACCGTCCCGATTCTCATGAGAAGCCCCCAGGGCCCTGGGAAGGCCCTGCCTTCCAGAGAGGAGCCCCCGTTCATTAGCTACCGCCTGGAGGAGCATCGCCCCCTCCGCGTAAAAAATAAAAAATAAGAATAGAAATAAGTATATTTGCATACTCTTGGATTGTTGTTCATTTTTCTTCCACAGTCCGCGTGTAGGAGGATATGCCCGACCCAATGCCAGATCCCCGGCAGCCCCCAGGGCCCCCAGGGGCCTTGTTGTCTACGCCTCGCCGGTGGACGATTCGGGCAACTCGCTGGGCGGCGGGGGGAGCGTTCGGGATGTGCCGAAAACGTGGCGATACCCGAGCCCCACCCCCGCCTCCCGTCGATGCAGGCGAGTTCATGGTGGGGGGGTAGGCTTCGGATGTCGCCACCCGCCCAGGACCGGGTTCTGATTCCGCGGGTCGCTCTCTGACGGCCCCAGGGCCCGGAGACTGCCTCCGCGACAGCGGCGACCGCACTTTGCCGCCGCGGCTGTGCGCCGCCCAGGGCCTCGGGAGGGTTGCGGTGAGAGATCGCCCAGATTTCACGGCCCCCTCAGCTGCCCGTGCCTTCCCTAAGGGCTCCCACGAGGGCGCGAAGTTTTTCCCGCTTCGCGCTGCGCGGTCCTCGTTCCTTCTCCCCCTCCTCCTCGTCCTATCTTCTCCCTTTGGGGGTCGGCGCGAGAGCGCGAAGTTATTCGCGCTTCGCGCAGCGCAAAGCGCGAATCGCCTGGAGAGAATCACAACTTGATAATGATGATAAGGAGGAGGAGGAGGATGAGGAGGAGGAGGGGGAGGAGGAGGAGGGGGAGGAGGGGGAGGGGGAAGAGGAGGAGGAGGAGGAGGAGGAGGAGGAGAGGAGGGAGGAGGAGGAGAGGAGGAGGGGAGGAGGGAGGAGGAGGGGGAGGAGGGGGGAGGAGGGGGAGGGAGGAGGGGGAGGAGGGGGAGGAGGAGAAGGAGGAGGAGGAGGAGGAGGTTGGGAGCCCTTGATTCCCTGGCCCCCGCCACGCGTCCGCGCACGTGCCTCGGGCCACGATGGCGCTGGCACTTGCCTCTCCGGAGGGAAGAAAAAAAGCGGCACCGCCACCACCACAGGGTTGCCACCTCCAGCGTTCTGTCGGGCGTGTCCCCCTCTACACGGGGATTTTCGACGAAGAACAAAACATATACCCCAAAGAAAGTCAAAAAAATAGCCCAAACATAGTCTGGGGACTATTGTTTGAGCATTCTTTGACCTTTTTTTGTGTATTATGGGGGTATGTTTCATTTTTCGTCGAAAATCTCCCTGCAGGGGGACAGGCCCGACATAACACCAGGGCTGCCACCTCCAGCGAGGAGGCACACGGTGCCTCCCCGTGGGAGCACGGGATGCATCGAGCGGGGAGGGGCGACCACGCCATCGGGAGGACCACCCCCTGGCTCCTCGCGGTGGTGGCGGTGGTGGCCCCTTCCCAGACATCTGACGTCTAGAGGGAAGTCGGGCATGTCCCTCTACACGAGGGGTAGTAAACACATAGCAAAAACATAGTCTGGGGACGATGTTTCTATTGTTTGCCATGTTTGAAGATGCTTTGACTCTTTCTGATGTTTCGCCCACAGTCCGCCAATAGGAGGACATGCCCGACCGAAGTCTAGAGATGTTTCACCTCCCCAGAAGTCCGGACCCGTTCCCCCAGGGCCGGTTCTTCATCTCGAGCCGTTAGTTATTTGCGGTCCGGGGCCCAGTGAGTGCCCCTCGTGGCCGAAAACAGCCAGAACCCGTCAGTCGCGTGTTTTCTCGCGCCGCGAGCATGTCTGGGCCGGGCTCCGTAGGACCCTCGAGGGCCGAACGTTGCTGACAGCTGTTTCTGTCGTGACTTTGTCTACGACGCGCGGGTCTCAGGGATCAAAAGAGGAGGAGGAGGAGGAGGAGGAGGAGGAGGAGGAGCAGGAGGAGGAGGAGGAGCAGGAGGAGGAGGCGGAGGAGGAGACTGCGGCTGTTTCGGGGCTTCGGCCGCTGTGGCCCCGTCGGGCCCCCCAGGGGTCTTCGTGCCCATCGGTCCCACGCTTGAGCTTTTTGTTTGGCCCCTGGACCATGCAGGGGGGGTGGGGGGTAGTCAGCGCTGGGGGATGCATGCTTCTGGCCACACAGCGGCGGTCGGCGCCGCCCAAGGCGTGGCCGCCCCTGCTCTTGTCTGGCGGCCGCTGCTGTCGCTGCCGCTCCCGCATGTTTCATGTCGGCCTGGGCCTCCCAGATGGAGTCGGAGCAGCTGGGGTCAGAGGATCGCGCCGCATCGCCGATGCGTGGCGAGATGCGGCGCGGTCTGGTGTCCGGAGCCCGACTTGCCCCACGCCGACGTCGACAGCTGATCGCCGACCTCGGCGATGCATCGGCGATGCGGCCTGACCCTCCGACCCCATCCGCTCGGGCCCCATCCAGGAGCCCTCGAATCACACAGGGAGGAGGAGGAGGAAGAGGCGGAGGCGGAGGAGGAGGAGCAGGAGGAGAAGGAGGAGGAGGAAGAGGCGGAGGAGGAGGAGGAGGAGCAGGAGGACGCGGAGGAGGAGGAGGCGGAGGAGGAGGCGGAGGACGTGGAGGAGGAGGACGCGAAGGAGGAGGAGGAGGAGGCGGAGAAGGCGGAGGAGGAGGCGGAGGAGGCGGAGGAGGCGGAGGAGGAGGCGGAGGAGAAGAAGGAGGAGGACGCGAAGGAGGAGGAGGAGGAGGAGGAGGAGGGGACGCGAAGGAGGAGGAGGAGGAGGAGGAGGAGGAGGAGGAGGAGGAGGAGGAGGAGGAGGAGGCGGAGGAGGCGGAGGAGGAGGAGGCGAAGGACGCGGAGGAGGAGGAGGAGGAGGCGGAGGAGGCGGAGGAGGAGGAGGACGCGAAGGAGGAGGAGGAGGAGGAGGACGCGAAGGAGGAGGAGGAGGAGGAGGAGGAGGAACTGGAGGAGAAGGAGGCGGAGGCGCAGGAGGCGTTCTCGTACCTCGCCGGCGCACCCCGACCCCAGCAGGTCGGCGGCCCCGAGGCGCTGCGCGCCGACCCCGGCTCGCGCTTCTCCCGGCTGCTCGCCGCGGAGCTGTCAGGCGCCGCCCCCGCGGGGGCGGCGCGGCCGCAGCCCGTGGCCGCGTGAGCCGCGCCCGCCTCGCCCTCGGAGGAGGATCGGGTATGTGAAGGGGCCCTGGGACACACAAATAAATACACACAAATAAAAGGATTCCCCATATTTCCCCATATTTTCTGGGTTCCTGTCTTCCCCCCCCACTGCCAATATTTTCCCATATTTTCTGGGGAATCGACGATTAATTGTGTCTGTGTTTTGTTTTCACTCCTGAGTATGGCCAGGACCCTGGGTAAGGGGACCCGGTTAGTGGTAGGGCCCTGGATCCCTCGAATTGGCCAGAATCGCTGAACCAGCTTTGCCGTAGCTGGTGCTTTTTCGGGTGTTTCGGGTGACGGCACTTCCGATTAGTGGGGATGGGACGGGGGGGCGCCCCCGGTACACATCACTAAAGCAGACTCCACTAAACCCAGTTCTGCCAAAGCCCGAGAGCACGAGCGGAAGCTGGAACATATACACTACCAGTGTGAAGTCGGGCGTGTCCCCTATACAGGGGGATTGTCGACGAAAACTAAAAAAACCCAAAGATATTCCCAAAAGGGTCAAACAATACTTAAAATGTAGTCCCCAGACTAATTTTGGACTATTTGTATGATTTTGAGGGTATTCTTATTTTTCGTCGAAAATCCCCCTGGAGGGGGACACGCCCGACTTAAGACTACCAGTGGCGGGTTGTTTTTTCAATCCCAAGACTTTTTGAGGGTCGGGGACGACTTTGGGGTGGTGTGGTGTATACTCTTCCCGTTTATCCAAGGGAAACAGCCAAAAATGTATACACCAGGGTCCCGATACACCAGGATCCGCGTTCCTGTGCGAATCTCGGCGCAGGGTCGGAAAAGCGTCGGTGTACAGAGTCCGTCTCCCTAGAAGAGGTTGCGATACCGCGCGCTGTGGTCCCGCTGTCGTGCTGTAGGCAGGCTCGGAAGACTTCTCGGAAGGCCAGGGGGACTTCCGAGCCTTCCGAGCAGGCCCGCCCCTTCTCACTTCCCCCCCGGGCTCGCCGCCGACATGAGCATGAGCCGTCGGAGGTCCGCGCGGACTTCTCGGATCGGTGCTGGACCTTATCTGGCGGCGCCTCAGGCGCCGCCCCTGGAGCCCTTCCCGCGCCAGGTGGGTGGCCCCCAGCGCCGATCCGAGAAGTCCGCGCGGACCTCCGAAAGCGTTTGTTGACGTAGCGTTATGCCGACTTTAGCCTTGACCACCATAAAGGAATTGCGAGCACCAAGAAAGCACCGGGACTTGCGGGTTTTCACGTGTCGGGTTTTGGGAGGCGATATTCGTTCGACATTGTTTCGATATTATGTCTGGGATGAGGTCCTGAAGCACGATGTGAGCAGCATAACTACAGGAGCTTGTTTTTGGAATCCTCTGGCGCGTAACGGTCGGTTCCCAGGCCAGCCCACTTTCCCCCCCCCCTTCCGCGTAAGACGTGTGCCACCCCGCCCAGGCCTCACGGCTACCCAGGCCCCCTCGGGCAACGACCGTTGCCAGAAATCCTGGAAACACAATCGTTTGAGTCTCTTGGGAGGCCCTCGTCGCCACCACTGGATTCGCCTCGAAATCCCTGTCAGCACGCACCCCGGGAGAGGTCCGGGGAGCAGCGGTATCGGTACCTTTTCGCTTCCTTGCGGCCTCCTCAGACCTCTCAGGATATGTTCTGTTGCATCTTCGGGGGACCTCGCCTGTCCCTAAAATTGGTGTCTTTTTGGGGGCCCGACGCGTGCTCGATGCGGACTCGACGCGGATTCGGCGTGGATTCGACGCGGATTCGACACGGATCCGACGCGTCCGACATGGATTCGACACGGATTCGACGCGGACAGGGCCGCGACGGGACAGACAAGGTCCCCCGAGGATGCAACATAAGATATGACGCTTTCAATCCCAGCGTTTTCCCTCGCTTGCGGCCTCCAGGGCCCGTCGTCGGGCCCGGGGACCACTGAGAATGGATCCGAGACGCGCAGCCTCTCCCGGGGAAGGGTTCGGGACTCCGTGGGGGCGCGGGTTGGACACATCTCGCGAGAGATTTGGGTCTGCAAGGGTGTGACCCACGGGGGCGGCACTGCGAGTGACAGCGCTTCTGGTCCGCTCCGGAGGAGGAGGACGAGGAGGAGTAGGAGGAGGAGGAGGAGGAGGAGGAGGAGGAGGAGGAGGAGGAGGAGGAGCCCCCCCCCAACGACGCGGTGAACATGAGAGCGCTTTTTTTTCCCAGGCGACAGCGGGCGTTGCCGGGTGGTGGGGGGGGGCGGCTGATCGGGCCCATTCGGGCACCCCCAGAACGCTTTCGGCGAGGCGCAGCTGCTGGCAACCATCCCGAGGCCAGTGCAAACTGCAAACAGCCAGCGAGAAACAACGAAATCAGCCAAGGGGCGAGCAAGGGAGAGAAGTGGGGGGGGCGGGGCCAGTAGCGTGGCGTTTCCCGCCGGCACCGCCTGGGAACATGCTCAGGGACAACCAGAGCCAACTGGGAGGTCAGCACGAGAATCGTGACGTTGCCTGGGTGCGGGGGGGGGGGCGGATTTCTTTTGGTGGCGCTTCGCGCGGATTTCTTGGATCGGCGACTGACTCCCCTGGCGGCGCCTCCGGCGCCGCCCCTGGCGCGCTCCGCGCACCAGGGAGGGTGGTCCAGCGCAGATCCAAGAAATCCGCACGCAGCGCCAAAAGTTTATGTGTACGGCGTGTTTTCTTTTATTTCCAAGGATTTCTCGGGCGTCTGGGGCCTCCAGGATCCCCAAACCGTGCGGTGACGAACCGTGCGGTGAGGTCTTTGGGAATCCGATGTCATCACGCGGTCTGTCATCGCACCGTTTCGGGACCTTCAACAGGCAACACAAGGCAGAGGTGTCCTGAGGGAGAGATGGCGGGGGGTCCTTCGCCGTTTTGAGGGCCATGGGGCCGTCGAATCACGCGGCGATCGCAGCGGCCCGAGATCAAAGGTTTCTGAGAAGGAGTGGCTCGTCCCTCCCCAGCCCACCCACCCCCGCTCTGCGATGCAGACGTGGCTCATCATTGGCCATATAGCGACAGAGAGGTGTCAATGTATGTCCAACGCGGGCAGTCATTTGGCTTGGGTGAGGGATGGATTACCGCGCAGCCAGAGGCGGGCGAGGAGGAGCAGGTGGAGAAGGAGGAGCTGGAGACGCTGATGGGGAGGAGGAGAAGGGGCAGGAGGAGGAGGAGGAGGAGTTGGAAGAGGAGGAGCTGGAGACGCTGGTGGGGAGGAGGAGGAGGAGGAGGAGGAGGAGGAGGAGGAAGAGGAGGAGGAGGAGTTGGAGGAGGAGGAGCTGGAGACGCTGGAGGAGGAGGAGGAGGAGGAGGAGGAGGAGGAGGAGGAGGGCTTGCTGCCGGCCTCGCGGCGGGCGCTCCGTGCGCGTCCGGCGGCGAGCGTCGTGCTGGCTTGCTTGGCTGCGGCCGCCGCCGCCGCCGGGCATCGTCGAAACCGGCAGCTGTCCCACTCTGGGCATGTTGATGGAGCTTGCGCTCGTCTCCTCCTCCCCCACCTCTCGGGAGGGGAACAAACGCACAGACACAATTAATCTCTGGACGCCCGACAGGGGCACGGAAAGAATGGGTACAATACCCAACAGCAGTTCTTGTTCATTTTGAACAGGACTCGCTGTCCACGCCGGCGCGGCCTGTGTTCATTGGTTCGAGACAGGAGGCCGCCTGCCCAACAGCGGCCGCTGCTGGTTCGGGACAACATTTGCTGTTGGGCATTGTGCCCATTCTTTCCGTACTCATTTCGGGCGTCCAAATAATCGTCGATTCCAAGGAAAATGTTGGAACATGTGGGAAGTGGGGGGGAAAACGAAAATCCAAAAGATATGGGAAAATATAGGGAGTCTGGTTATTTGTGTCGATTTATTTGTGTGTCCCAGTTCCCCTTCAACCTCGTCTTCCTCCCCCACGCTGACCCCCGTCTCCGTCCTCTGCTCTTCTCCCCCTCGCATCACTGCATGGATGACCCTTCGCCTCCCCGCATGAGCCTTCTCCTCCCTTCTCGTCCTCCCTCTTCTCCCATGTGGTCGTGCGTCTGGCTGTCTCATTGTCTGCTTGTCTCTCGCTCTCTCTCTCTCTCTCTTTATCTCTTTCCCTTTTTTCTTTTTTTCACACATATACACATATATGTATATATGTATATATACATATATCAGAGTGAGGGGGCCGAACTGTCATTCATTGTCCCTTGGTGCGCGGCTGAAAAGGAAGTCTGTGGTGAGGATTGTGCTTGTTTGTTGCGTTGTTGTTGTTGTTGTTGTTGTTGTTGTTGTTGTTGTTGTTGTTGTGGTTGTGGTTGTTGTTGTTGTTGTTGATGATGTTCGTGTTCTTGTTGTTGTTGCTGCTGAACTTTTACTTCTGAAGAATAATTATTGTTGGTCCCCCCTCACCGGTGCATACTGTGTGTTCTCAATCAAAGTGTGCCCCTCGACGCTCGCTCCCTGTTTTTTGACGAGGAAAGTCTTGGTGCTCAAACTGTGCCCCTGGCCCCCCGGATTACAACAACAACAACAACAAAGGCTCCCGACCGAGACTTCCTCCAACATTTACTCAGGACCCCCGCTCCTGAGACTTCCTCACAATTTACATAGGAGCGGTGCTCCCGCCTGTGACCTCCTCGCAATTTAGTCAGGACCCCCGCTCCCATCTGAGACTTCCTCACAATTTACTCAGGAACGGCGCCCGATTGAGACCTCCTCGCAATTGAATCAAGATTTCCTAGCAATTTAGTCAAGCCCCCCGCTCCCGCCAGAGAACCCTTCACATGTTATTCGGAATTGCGCTCTCGCCTGTAACTTCCATGCTATGTATTCAGAAATCGCGCTTTCGACGCTCAGGAAACACGCTGCGCCAAGGACGCCGTCACAATTTACTTAGTAATCGCGCTCTCGCCATACTCAGGCATCCCGCTTGAATGTCCCAACCGGCCGACCCGCCCATCAGGGGATCGCCCGCCCGTCCTGGTCTCCCGCCCGAGACTTCCTTCAGGAACGGCGTTTTCGCCGAGGACTTCCTCGAACGTTCACGCTCTTACCTTCCTGCTCCTCCTCC